TTATAAATCTGCATCGCTATTCATACTCTCCTAATGTATTATTACAGAAATGGAACGTGACATAGATCTACTGTAAAATGGCTGAAACTCAGACGGTAAATTATGGACGCATTCCCCATATACGATTTGTTTTCAAAATCCCCAAATCACGTCTTATCACTGCTCCTTGCTGTATTCAAAATTAGAATAAACCTATTGAGAGTTGGGATATTAAATTTTCACGGGAATTGAATGGGAAAATTCAATTTCATCTCACTTTTTTGGGGGGAAGTGGGTGCTGAGACCCGACCGGAAGTATATTCTCGATTTTGTATAACGGGTGAAAATATGCACAATCAGTGGCAGATGATTCCAGTGCTGTAGTTGTAAACGGGGGGTTGGTAGCACGGGGCGGTCGCCCCCCTAGAATTTTCAGGGCAAAGGTATCTTAGCCTAGGTAAGTCTGCACTGGTAACCCCAGCGATGACATGTACAGAGCACAGATTTGGTAGTAAGTATTTTAGTCTTTGGTGTCCCCAAAGGTAAAAATACTCAACTGAACAGTGATGTTATTGTGATGAAGATTGTTTAATAGTGCTGCCTCATCGTGCAGGAATTGGCATCGAAGAGGTGTTACTTTTAACAAAATTTCCGTGGGGGTGGTCCCCCGGATCCCACCTAAACAAGAGGGGGAGACCCCCTGAAGGAGGAAAAATCCTGATATTCTATGATAAAATGTCCAAAATTGATTGCTTTTAGATTGCAACTTTTTAACATTTCCACACAGTGGGAGGGGGACACCCCATCCCCCGGGCGCTTCGTGCCTTTGAGCTCGCATGTTTCGCCACCATCTATAATTCACTTCTGGATCCGCCACTGGTTGTGTGTGTGTGGGGAGGGGGTTGCGTGTTATTAAACTTCTGAAATCCAAAGAAAAAAATTACCCTAGAATTCACAAAATTGCACTTACAATATCAATTTTATTCAATTATCTCAAAAACGGCCATCTTGAAGGTTCTAAATTGCTAAAATCCAAGAGCTTTCCTGGGCGCCCTAATCAAGGGGCCCTGCTCGCGGTGTCCGCTGCTCGCGCACTCTTCATATACATTGCGATGAAAGTAACAGCGAAATCAGCCCCCCCCCCCCCACAACTGAGGACCTGTCTACGCCACTGCGCTACCGCAATAACGAATAGGCGTGCATTCGACTGTCTACATTGGCAAGTTAAATATTAATAGCAGATAATGCACCGCCGCTTATGCAAATTAATTTAATACCGATATCTGAGTGGGGCAAAAATCACACACCCCGGTGACATTCTGTGTCAGCTAAAACCAGTGAGTCAGTGTAATTACATATTAAAAGCTTTACTGCCAATATGCTCAGCCTTATACGGTCTCAATACCCTAACCGG